CCGATAATTATTTGACAAGTCAAAAAGTTACAAATGACTGTTAAAAAGGTCTAATAATGGAAATATGCAAGCAAAATAATACTATTTAGACAATCTTAATGTGTTATATCTAGTAAATCATCTCGATTTATTATTTGAACACTAGGATAATCATACTATACACAAGTAAACCAATCATTTTTGCATATTCCTAAAAGCAATAAAATAAATTTTATTACCCAGACATTGGACACTACGGTGTAACCAATGTCATCCATCTAGTCCTCGCTGTTGGTGCAGACTGAATTCTATCAATGAACTTTGCAGTGTCACCACCTATTTAGGTGGTTTGCCATCATGATACACTCTGAATTGATATTCGAATATCAGCAAGGATATGAGTTGGTATTTCATGATTAGCGGCAATCGGACCTAGGTTTCGTGCTTGTTGCCGCTGGCCAGTCAGGCGTATCTCAATCTTGAAAAGACCCCATGTCCTTCCGCACCCCTCATGGGATAAGAACCCAGGTCTCCCAGTGCTTTAGTGAGCCTGAATAGCTCAATACTAACGTCTCTGATTGCAACGCTGAGTGACTCGGGTTCGAATATCAGCTAGGGCATGAGTTGTTATGAGATGGTTAGGAGCAATTGGCAGGAAAACTTGGGCCTAGGTTTTGTGCTTATTGTCAGCAAGGCCTACCTGCAAGCTTGCTGATGAGGGTGGACCAATAAGAAACCTAAGTCCATGAGCTTCTGTAAATAACCTCCAACCACCTAACATCTAATCATACTATACTATGAAAGCTATCCTGATAAAGGTGGCTTGATTATTTGTCGTTATCGATTTCCACCATCATCATCAGCAGCAGCACCAACATAATCATTCTAATCATCGTCAACATTATAGTCGTCATAATAGAATAGAAAATACTATCAATATCGATTAATTTTTGTGTGCAAAATAATATACACTCACTAAAATGGTAGTAACACACAAATGAGAAAAAAAGACTTAGTCACTCGATCATTGATTCACAGACAACCAAAACAACTAACGAGTTAATAAGCCACTACTAGTACTACAACAACAACTACTACTATATTGTCTCTCTGTTAATTGATTGCTTAAAAACAATCAATTTATCATCGTAATCATCACAGTCATTATTATTATGATTGGTGTTGTTGTTGTTATTGTTGATCATGATATTGGTAGTAAGACAGCTAGCACAAAACAGGCTAAAAGGTTACACACTATGATTCATACTTTAGGTAACGATTATGATGACGATAATGAAAACTGAAGAGACTAGATAGAAAAATATTAAGAATAAGAATACCCCACCTACTTTGAGATGGTTATTATAAAACAAAAATAGATGAATGATACTGATGGTGTTGATGATGAATTGAATCAATGGATTCTTTCTTGTATACAAATAAAAAAAATGTTCCTATGTAATTTGTATGTTTATTTGCTTAGTTGCTTACTATACACCTTTTTTTGTCTTCTCTCTTCTAGATAAACGCGTGGAATTAAATAGTCTATCACTATATTTAGTAGCACTAGTGATTGTAATTATGATAACACACTAGTGTCATCATCATTAAGGCATATGGAAAATCAATTTAATGCGATAAAAAGTAGTGTATGCATTAAATTTATACAAAGTATCTTTCACCTGGATTACCTGGAGTAATATGGACAATCTGATGCTGTTAGGCTATGCATTTACAAAAAGATGAAGTTTTTTAAAATATTCTGTTTAACAAAAGGAGTAAAGCCTGAAGCCTGCTTTCGGGCATATGGAAGAAGGAAGACAATGTTGCCGGAATGATATTCAAATAGACTACTAGTTGTACGCTAGGGGATGAATTAGTGCCGTGCGTAAATAATAATTATCAAGTGTTGGTTTGCAGGGATCTGATTGGTTACACATTTGAACATGAGTAGGCATCAGTTGGAGAACCATTGGAAATTCAGGGAGTTTGGACCTCGTCAACAGTACACACCCACTGGAATTCGAACACAGGACCTTCTGGTTACAAGGCGAGCTCGTAGACCATGCGGACACTGGGACCCGATGGAATGGCCCATGAATTCCAACTTCTGCCAATTCGCAATATAAATATAGCGCAGCCACCAACCAGTGTAAAAGGTGAATAACTGATCTCTTACCTGACTTGAAGGACCCTGTTGGTTGCGACTTCTCACTAATTCGATTCACGCTAGTCATTTGTTTACTGGTCGAATTCAATCATGAGTATAAAATACTTATATTGGCATTTTTCTCTTAATCTGCACCAAATCTTATCCCGATGACATTTCTAACTAACAGTTAAAGGAATGACTGAATTACTCAATAGACCAGATAGCCTGATTAAGATATAAATTTTAAAGAAGAATAATCAAAGGGAATTACAATTTGATCTACAGTTTACAGAGGATAGGATAAAGTTACCACACAAAGCGCAAGATGACCAAAATACATCAACAGATTCTGCACTAACTAAAGTTAGCTGGTATACAAATAAACTGTAGAAAAGCTAAAGCTAATCAGAGTAAGGCATGATATACACGCGTCACGTATCTAATTATTAGTCTGAAAAGTACAAAGAAAGGTTGATGGTGTCTTCGAGATATTAGTTATCAACGGTCAGAATGTTACAGCAATATGGCTTGAAGTTAATCAGATTTACGCAGATGTGTTTACTGCTTATCACCTTAATAATTCCAAATATTTTATCAGCTGTTATGCTACCACCAAACTTCGTTACAAACCTTGTTGAACTGTTTTAATATCGTTCTACCCGTGTTCACTTCCTCTGTCCATGCTGTTTGGATGCTTAACACCTTAGAATAATACACTAATGGGTAAGCTTCTACATTTTGACATGTCTGACAGCCTAATTGAAAAATCACATAGGTTTTAAAGGGAGTACTGAGAAAGTTTATTGTACCAATCAGAGTAGTCAACTTCAGCTCGTGCAGTCAGATAAGAGAGTATGAAGAGCAACTTATCTGAGATGAGAAAAACCAGTGATGTCAAACAGTAAAGTTAGTTGGGAAAGATAAGTCAATCGACTAGGTCGTGAAACTCCATCTAGCGAGAGTGCTGAACTCTGTTAAGAATTCTCAGACACCACCTTCTTCATGAATAACTCTTTGCAGAAATGGACAGTGTAAACAAAAGTAACTTAATACTAGCCTATAAAGCTCACTAGATTTTAACTCTGATCAAAATTTACTTTCGTGCTTCTATTTACATACTCGTATGGAATATAATGGGTATATATGAAAATAGAATAAAAAATATCTAAACCTGCGTTTCGTTTAAAAAGACAATAGCACAAAAGACCCTTAAGTGACAATGGTAAAATTAGTTCGCTTTGAATTTGTACTTTAGAGATCCAGTTAAGTGACTGTAATAAGAAAAAGTCACAGAATGTGGTTTGCTGCCTTTACTTCAGCATAATAACCACTGTTCGAAAAAATCGGGTAATAAGTCTATATTGTGACTGTTTTGGCAAACGTGAAACAACTGCAAGAATATAAAACTTTATAAATCGCAATGTTCACACACACACACACACCTAAGAATAAGGAATAAGACACTAACGTTCTCCGTCATCAAAATTTAAGAGTGGAACACATGGACTGTGATGTAGTATAATTCCGCATCAGATAAGTTAATCTGATACCTCATTTAAGATAACTCACTACTTTTCAGATATTGTTACTTTTCATAGACTTTGATTTATTTTGCTGATAATCACCAATATTTCTGACTCTTATCGTTGATTAACATTATATAATATAAATTCCCTGAGTAATTGAACAACTTAAAAGTGAAGTTACAAATGAGAATCTGTCTGCTGAATTGTGTGTCCTCAATTACATTATTAATTCATTTTTATTATTTAACGTTTAAATTCTCTCTTATAGTTTCCTTCCAGACATTTGCAAACACTTACAGCATCTGAAGTTCAAGGGATTTGAAGTATTTATTTTAAGAGAATAGTCAAACAAACTATTATATGATTATTCTATAGAAGATAAACACAAAAATTTAGAGTCCTTAATGAAAGTGTAGAACTTAGGCATTGTGGTAGAATGTAATTCCATATTAGATAAGGTTATTTTTAAATATCACAGTGATGCAGTATCAACAACTGGATGACAGGGTTTCGAGCATAAATTATTGCTCAAAATCATATCAGTTTAGTCACACGTTTTCACAACCTGTCTTATATATATTTTCTCGCTATTCTGTCTCTCCAACTTCATTTTGTTGTTTGTTGCCGCTTTCCATATCTCCGGTATAAGCGTTGCGTCATTCCGATTACATGTGTATAGTATTGAATCGACAAACAAAGCTTCAGTGATTAACTTCTCTCTCTCCACCTAACTGTATTACTTTTTAATACTCTCACTCTGTCCCACTCACTCTACTTTGTGATTACATGTAAGTGAATGCAGCGCAATGGTTGAGCTTTCTACTAAGTTATTGAACTTAGCAGAGTCAATTATTCTAGGTCTAGCTAAATTTTTATGTTCCAATAACATAGCTGACCTTGATCTACCAGTTTGACTTATGTAATTTACCTCACAGCCATTGCATGATGTTTGGTATATTATATTATTTTTCCTAATTGGATCTATTGGGTCCTTAAGCCGATAATCTAGAGTCCTGAATAAGTCTTGCTAGAATATATCCCATACATATATAAGGTATTTCGTATACATGTAATTGAGGGAAAAGATGAATAGACTAGACTGACAAAAGACTTGAATTTTAAAAAAGCAACCAGAAATCAACTATAGAAATACGGTTTTACATAAAATAACCTCATTACTTCTTATCAATCTGCGAGACGGCAGTATGCACACATATTTCAATCGGAAGGATATGTGAAACCACTAAATTATTATGACAATAAAATACTTAACATTACTATTACTATTCGTAAATAATTTTTTATCTGTTAAACATTATAATAACTGTAATAGCTAGACTTACCGTTTCTTCTTTTAAACTTCGTCTTCCACTTTCAAATGTTTTTCCAGCAAATACTTCACAACCAATAGGATCTGAATCAGCAATATCTGATGAATCACGACTAGATGAAATATTGGATCCTGTGCAATGTTTCAAGGGATTGCTATTAGCAGTGGCAGTTGTAACAGTAGAATTACGTTCTGTCACTTTGCTCAGTGTTTCACGATCATCAGACATAGTTGTTGGTTGTCCAGAAGTAGACTTACGAGATTCTATTGCATTAACTTCTACAGATGATGACGATGATGATGATGTAACAGCTGATAATAGGTTGGACTCAGAAGTAGGATTATTACCAGGTAAGAATGTACCAGAATCTAATTCCATTTGGCTTTTTATTGGTGTATTTTTGGGCGGAGAACAAATAAGAAGAAACTTTTTTCTACAACCATCTGAAGAATTAGATTTATTTTCCTGTGAAAGGGATGCTGCTGTTGCAGCAAGGCGCTTAGGTGTCTGACCGATTGACTTAGCTCCGAGCATAGGTGACTGACGTTTATTTGAACGACTTATTCTTGATGATGATCCTGAAGTTGTTGTGGTCGTTGTTATTGTCGCTGTCGTGCATTCCTCAAGAGAACGACTCATCGTTTGATCGTAATTTGTTGAAGATTCACCGCCAGTAGATGGCTGATTAATACGATCACTATTACCAGAAAGTGTAGACTCCCACAATGCCTTAAACTTAGGCTTTCCACGTGGAATTGATGACATAACAAGTCCAGGACTAGTAACTGAATTTGTAGATAGATTAGAATTACATGTAATGGACAATGGAGATAAGGTAGATGTCTCACTAACTGAATTTAAATAATTTCCAAACGATGAAGAACAGACAGGAACCGATGTATTGGTTGTAATACATGGTCTAGAAGTGTTAAGAGAGGCTGTTGAAGTTGTAGTTGTTGTTACTGGTGCAGCCATCAATACAGTCGAACCATTTGCAGAAACATGAACTGGATAAACTGTAAGGCTTGTTTGTCCTAAGCTTGATAAAAGAGGTGTAGTAAGATCTGAAGTAGAATTAGATGTTGTATGCATCAATTCACCTAAGGAACTACTTGGGGATACAATCGCTCCAGATGTAGTAGATGTACACAGGTTAGGAGAAAACTGAAATGTGTTCGACTGTTGAACTGTAGCCGTGGTAGACGGAACAGAAACACTGGGTGGCCACTAGTACATAAAAAGAAAAAAAGTAAGAAAAACTTAGATTAGAAATACACTAAAAAGACGAATACACTTGTACCGAGGTTATTATAAATACAAAGAGGAAAAAACAGGATAGCAGAGGGGTTTGTACCTGTGGTTTTCAAGTTCTATGTCAGTTGCATCATCATGATAACCCAGTTGGTAGGCCGTCAAGTTAAAAACCATCCAACTCCAGCTATTATTTCTAAACATATACAAAGATTTTATCAACAACAAAAATAAAGAAATGATGGCATATATATATATATATTTATATATTGTGGTGTAACTATAAGCTCTCTTTGTAACCGGAATGTCCTACGTTCAAACCCTAGGGAGGGTGTACTGATGAAGAGTCCAAATCCATGAAGAAACAGCTGTTCAGTACTCCCTTATTTTCCAGTGGTTCTCTAACCTATGTAAACTCGTGTTCAAACCTGTAACCAATCAAATCCCTGCAAACGAACACTTGAAAATGAAAGTATCCTTATTCTTCATAAAGGAAGGAATACTTTTTGTAAGTAGCAATCAAACCTTTATTTCATATCTGGTCAACCGAACACACATGTTTATTACACTTAACAACCAAATACACCTTTTCTGATAAGAATAGGTAATCGAAATCGTGCTGTATGAAGACAGATTTAAATACATTTACTGAATTATAATTTACATGCCTAGTACAATGAACTAACAATTCGCTAGTGCCATTACGTATAGTTTATTGCTTGCCATACTTTTCAAAGAAGTATCACTGTATTGTAAAATAATATGTCAGTTAAGCAGTAGTTAGCATGCTTACACAATATACAAAGTGATGATATTGCAATAATTCTAACGAAATAAAAAAAGAAATTCTCAGATACTTTATTAATAGCGCTGAACACTGACAAACATAAGTGTGTGGGATGCTACATACTGCATCACACAATAGTATAACAAAGAAGCATCAGGAAAGCATCAGGAAGAAAGAAAGTGATTGATGATTCCTACTAGGAATCTTAAATTTTTTGAGCCCCCAACCATATTGAAACTTACATCGTATAGCTTACACAATCAATTATCTTAAAATGCAAATTTATGTCGTGTTTTCACTTAATAAATTATATAATAATGAAGTAATGTTTACTGAATGAAGTTTCAGGATCAATTTATCGCCCATACGTAAATAAACGTGTACTCACAACTTTTCTCAGTTAGTAATGTAACAACAGAAGGCAAGAGTCAGGCAACAGATCATTTATTAAGGAAATCAACGCATATTTATATATTTTCATGTACATTATTATGGATAGTTAAGCGAACAAATACAGTCTTCCGATTGGTTGTTTCTCACGTACAGTTAATCTTTCATCTATTTGTGACTGTTTCTTGAATGTCAAATCCTCTATATGTTAACTGCATCCGCCTACGCAAAGTCTGCTGTGGTCGGTTTTGAATCAATATTTGTTCACATTTTCTCACGACAAATCTTGGGAACGTAAATATTGACGTAAATTACTGTCTACCAATTTGGCTAGTAGACAGCTCTCAGCACAGTAATACTTTATGTGTGTGCTTTATCAGATAAATATATTATTTTGTTCCTTTGCCTTCCAAGTGGAATATACAGCTTCGAGCTTCAACTTTGAAGTTCCAGTAGCAGTGTTGGTATTCTTTATTACGAGATGGGATATTTAGCCTTACACCCAACCATCCCTCTTAGTCAGGCTAAATGAGGTTTAGGAGTGCATCCGCCGGGAATCTGTCCCTTGGCCACATGCGTGGTTGGCTAGCATTCTACTGCTGCACCACTGACGTTATCAGATGAACATCTCTAAGTCTAATACTCATGACACTGTCTCACTTTTGAGGCATAACACCTTAATGGATTTTAGAATAAGCATTATTCAATAACACTGAGATTAATAAGAAATACAAAAAGAGTAGAAATGAAATGAAAGATACTTGTGTGCTAGTTACATCTATATTCCCAAGATTACATGACTAAACAGACTGCAATGTTGTCGGAGCGAGGTATAATACCATGGTAATTCTGCTCCACTTCTGAGATGAATTTAGGGATATATGAAACGAAAAGAATTGAGTTGTAACTTAGTTTCGTGTTTATTTTCACTTACTTCTACCACAATTTCAGTCATAGATTAGCATTATTGTCATTTCAATTTAAATGGTATATGTTGTGATAATTCACCACAGCAAGTGTCTATGATTTTCAAGAGTTGCTTTGTAAGGATTAAATCTGTTTGTACGAGTTTTTCCATGGATTGATTTCAGTTAGAGAACCACTGGAAAACCTAGGAGTACTGGACGGCTCTTCCGTCATAGTTTGGGAATCATCGGCAGTACTCACCCACCAACAGGGTTCGAACCCTGGACATTCTGGTTACAAGGTAAGCTCGTATACCATTCAGCCACTGGGACCAGATTCAATGGCCAGTGCACAAATTCCAACTTCTACCAATTCGTGGTGCATTTAGCGCGACCACCAACCAACGTCATCAGTGGGAAATCCATCCTCACACTTGACTGGTTGGACCTCACTGGTCACGACTTCTCGTTAGAATTCCAGCAAACTCCGTCCTGTAGGAAGTCACTAGCGAGCATCAGATTAATTTTCAAGAGTTGGTTTGTAAGGATTAGATTTGTTTTTACGATTTGACACCATAGATTGATATCAGTTAGAGAACCATTGATTTATTGAGGTAAAAAAATCAGTTGTTTAAAGGAACATAATGAATATTTACAAAGAATACTTCCAGTGTTTCACAATTTCGCTTTAGATGAACACAATTGGAGCAATAAATTTACAGTATATCCTTTTCTTGAAAAGAATTTATCACGCTCAATCACCTATTAGTTTTATTTCCATTTCAAACCATGACTGTATGTTGAGTTGTATGCTAAAACAAGTAGACTGAAAGTGTTAATAGATACCAAATATAACTTCATTTTTGTGAATAATCCAATCTGAATAATGAATACATTTTTCCTTAAGTGTCCAGCTTATATGGAAGATTGGATGACTAACAATAGTGAAAATCAAAGTATACATCCCCCTTTAAAAAGCTGCTGATAAGGTTTACGGATCATTGGAGGTCAGCTTCATCGCGGAAAAGTAGGCATTCAACTAAAATAGCCTTAGATTAGCAGAATAATGCTGATGTAATGGATGATGATTGAAAATGAATTAGAAACTTGCTTTGAGACAGAATTCCAATCAGAGGTTGTTTTCACACCACTAACCTAGAGTTTTATCAAGTGAATCTATGAGACCTAGTTACTTCAACCAGAGGGAGTAGACATCTTTTCTTATTTCAATGTTATTTGTTTAAATAACCTTAAGTTTGTTCTTAGAACACTGAAATCATGAAAGTCACACTTGCATTTGCACGGTGAACAATATCATCTTATAAATCATTCTGTTGTTCTATTTCTTCCACTCAACACACCCAAAATTAATAAGCACAGATATACACACATTTGAACATGCTCATCAAAGATAAAACAGTTTAAGCAGCATTAATAATGGGATATGTGGTCACTTTAAAATTTAACTATTATATATATATATATATATATATATATATATATATATATGTAATACACATAATTTGTCATTCCAGAAAAAAGGCTAACTAAAACAAAACAATGCTACCTAGCAACAGATCAAACAGATTGTTATAGGCGTGGCATATAAAGCATATGAAAAGAAAGTAATAATAGTCATAATAACAATTGACTCTAGTAATGCTAAAAGTCTATATAGTAGTATAGTATGGGAGATAGCATTTGAGAACATGAAAAGTTACACAACAGAACAGTGATTAGGTTAGTAAAATTATATCACACGACTTTTAGTGAATAGTGATATAAGAACTCTGAGATCTCAGTAATATAATGTGCCACTATGAATTCATCCAGTGTGAATAAATACATCTCTAATATTTATTAGAAGTTTACATAAATCATATCACTGTTAAGGACAGAGAGTAAAACTGTTGCCTTTCTTCGAAATTTAGGTCTCCAACAGTAATACATAATATAGCACAGTTTCAATTCAAACAGACAAAATATCTAAGCTGAATAACTTAAACAGTTGTGTACCTGAATAATGGGACTCATTATTTGCAAACGACATAAGCTGCGATAAATTTAAGGCAATTGACTAACTTCAGACGCTCAACTGCAGCGCCAAAAGAGTTCCTAAACAAACAATGCAAGACGTAGTGACCTTTATGAGACAAAAGTATCTAAATAAGCCAATGAATTTACTCTGCCTAATGGTATATGTAAATGAAATGTCTAGAAAAACAAACAAGACATTTGAACAATAATCGATGAATATTGTAACCAATAAACACTTATAAACAAGAAAACCATAGGAACTCCGATGACTTGAATTTTCATCATAAGACTGGGACCACGCAATAAAATGAATGTGGAATAAAAAAGAATATCACCACAGTATATTGATGATAACTTTTAACAAACGGTGAGATACATTGTCTGTGTAACAGTAATCTGTTGATAAGCATAAGCATAAACAAAATATATCGAGAAAACCTTGTACCTAAATACAATAAACAGTTTGTCAAATTACACCGTCGAAAGTGAAAATTAAATAGCCATAAACATCATGGGGTTTGCAAATAGACGAATATGAGTATGAGAAAAGAGAGCAACAAGCGAATGAAAGTCGGTGAACATCTCAAAAAACAGCTCCAGTTAACTACTTCTTCCCTGCATAGGAATTCTTAAGTCTTATCATTGGACATGCTAGGGTTCATAGAGGGGACTTTGTTATTCGGCTAATTAATTGGAACCCAAATAAGTCATTTTTAAAAATTTTCTCAATTCACAACATAAGTTGTCGGTCACTTACTTCACCAAGTGCTTGTACTAACATTTTACATAGTTGACCCTATTTGTCAAAACGTAACTTGAGAACTTCAAAAAGTTTAAAAGGAATACCCTTCTTCTCC